TCGCCGCCTCCGCACACTGTGCGGCGCTGTCCGAGGGCACTGGCCCTGCTTGCGCCGCCCCTAAGGTGTCCACCAGCCACAGGAGGCCCCGGAGCGGCATTTAAATGTATTTCATTTTAATTCCGTAGCTGCCTTCTTAGACGCACGGAGCTGGGATGCCCTGGGGAGCGCCGGAAGGGGCGTGGTCTGTCTTTATGAAGAATACATACCGCTTATCCATAAAATGTCTTTATCCCAAAACAAGCTCCACAGTAAATGTTATTTTAAAATTAAAGCATTTGGGGGAGAAAGGGGACTCGACTTATTTTTATAAAATGGTCTGTTGAAAATGTGGCGCTGAGTGTGGCACGTTAGAGCACTTAGGTCCCTACATTTACTCTACACGTGGCCATTGTCCACCGACAGGCCTGGCCTGAGCCAGACACAGCGAGGGGGGCGAGGCCAGCTGCTCTGCCAGGGGCTCAGGTTGTGGGGGGTCATGACCACTCCATGCACTTACACCACATGCGGTGTCTCCACGGGTCCCTGTGCCCCTTTCTAGTTAAGGGGGGAGGGGAGGGGGAAGAGGGAGGAAGAAGGAAGGAAATATCATCAGGTTAAAATGTGGACAGTTTGGGAGTGACTGTGGAATAGGAAACAAAGCCGTCGTCTGAGTAGCGAGCGTGACCCCAGAGAACCGGGGACTGGTCCTGTCTCCACTCCCAGGGTGCCAGCTGCCTTCAGCCCTCCCACTGGGTGGGTTCGCATAAATGATTTGTAAAGTGTTTTTCTAAATTTGTCTGTAAAACAGCAGCCGTCGGACCGGAGCCAGCCTCGGTCGCACAGCTGTAGCTGGGGGAGGTGGGGGTTGGTAAGTCACCGGGACGCGGTGCGCACAGACTTGTCAGCGGAGCGCCCGTGCGGGTGCGTGTGGGCGGCGAATTTCAATCACAGCGCGCAGGCCACGCTCAGCCCGCCGCCCACCGCGGGGATGGGCGAGCTCCCCGTCTCTGCGCCTCCGCTGACCCAGGACGGGAAGGTCATGTCTAAAGGCCACATGCGGGCTGGCACACGTCAGGCAGCCAAGTGTTTGTTAAGCAGACCCCTAACCAAGGAGGCAAAGGGTGTCCGTGCGGATCGTGAACACATGCTGTCTTTCTCCTGTTTTGAAGAAATGGAAGAGTTGGCGGAGCACGGCGTGTTTCTGCCTCCTAACATGCAAGGCCTGACGGACGAGCAGATTGAGGAGCTGAAGCTCCGGGACGAGTGGGGCGAGAAGTGCGTGCCCAGCGGAGGCGCCGTGTTTAAAAAGGACGACGTCGGACGCAGGAACGGCCACGGTAATCGCGCTCTTCCGCGCCGCGGAGCTCAGTGTTTCCCAGGAAGCCAGGAGCACTGGCCCCAGGGGGTTGGGGTGAGGAAAGCGCCCGCCTCGCTCTTGTCGCAGCTGGCTTGTAACATATCGGATGAGCCATGTGAAGTTGCCATTGTTGTGGGTCACAAATGGTTGAAAATTGGCGATTTTGTATGGTACAGCCTGAGAGTTTTGGGGGGAATCTCTGAAGACGTATGGAAGGGTGTTTTGTTACGATGGGCAGAACCAGCTTCATTTAGAGCAGTGGTTCTCAACCTTCTGGCCCTTTAAATACAGTTCCTCATGTGGTGACCCAACCACAAAATTATTCTCGTTGCTACTTCATAACTGTCATGTTGCTACTGTTACGAATCATCATGTAAATATCTGATATGCAGGATGGTCTTAGGCGACCCCTGTGAAAGGGTCGTTCGACCGCCAAAGGGGTCTCGACCCACAGGTTGAGAACCGCTGATTTAGAGGTTTGTGGGAAAGAGGCAGTGACGTCAGCTCCAGGTCTCCCCTGGGTCTCCGTCGCCCGGTCAGTGGGTGGCTGAGCCTGCAGGTGATGATGCGCGCACTCACCTAGACGCATGTGCGTGGGCTCACCTAGACACGTATGTTTTTCACTTCACATGTAAACACGTGTTTGGGGGATAATAGGAATTTCTAGCACTTCCTGTGCCTCTGCCTGGGAAGTGGCTGGTTGGCTTCCATACCTGTTCAGGCCTAAACTCGCTCTCACCCTGGAGATTCTTTGCTTTTAGAAGGAATTGCATCAATGAAGAAACAGTCCTGAAGACAGCGTTCCGAGTGTCTAGACCAGGGGTGGGCAAACTTTTTGACTCGAGGGCCACAATGGGTTCTTAAACTGGACCGGAGGGCCGGAACAAAAGCATGGATGGAGTGTTTGTGTGAACTAATATAAATTCAAAGTAAACATCATTACATAAAAGGGTACGGTCTTTTTTTTTTTTAGTTTTATTCATTTCAAACGGGCCGGATCCGGCCCGCGGGCCGTAGTTTGCCCACGGCTGGGCTAGTGCTTCCTGTGTCTAGTTAGCACTATGCTCACGAATGTAAGGAGTGAGCCTGCCGTCTCCCTTAGGTCTGGACGTTCCGTCTCCGTTGTTTTTCAAGTTAGGACTTTTCCCTGTTCGGGCTGAGCAGCTCTGGGCCCCGAGCCCAGCCCACTGCACCTGCTTCTGTAAAGTCGCCCCCCGCCCCCCCACCTGTCTCAGCAGCGCCTGTGGCTGCCGTCACGCTGAGTGGTGGCCAGAGAGACTGTCACCACGCGACTGAAATGTGTGCTGGGCCTCAGCTCCTGCTCTGTGCGCCTTTGCCCCTGTGCGTGGAGCGCCCACCGTCTGCACGGCCAGC